AAGGAGTGACTCTTTGTTCAAGTTTGACCGTTCGGGGGGCAATGTGAGCTTTTATAGGTCTCCGGCGTACAAGCCGGTAGCCAAAACAGTTCGGAATGAGTTAGCAACAGCCGTTCAATGTGTGCTGCGGGATTGTGAGGTTGACCGTTCGAATGCCCAGTCATTGGTCCATGTTGAGACAAACGGCCCGCAATAACGGTTATCCTGTAATTTCACGATATGGTTACATTTGAGGGCGAAGATCGACCGTTCGTTCTTCATTTCACGCTCTCCGGGGACTGTTAACCATCACTTAACCATCACTTAACCGGTAGGTACCTCAATGGTGATCGCGTTCCGTCACGTATGATTCTGCGGTTAGGCGTTGAACATTTTTGGGACGAAGTACGCATCCTCAATAGACATAATCCTCGAAATTTGACCCCGGGCTCATTTATACGGCCCAAGCTTTGCCAGGCCCATACAATTTCGCCAAGTGCCGGCTCTCGCTACCCGCGTATGTTACTCATCTACCTTGTCTTATTGCTTACATCTTTAATCTTCCATCCTATGTCTCATTGGCGGACCATTCCGTTAGCGGTCTCGGGGCATGTTGAGCCGCGCGGAACTAAAGTTCCATTTGAAACATAAACAGAGCATTAGTCAATTTTCTGAATTGAGTTTGAGACATAGACCGGTTTAGACATGTTCCAGGGACGGTATACTTTCGGTCGTACTCGTCGCCGCTAATTGCTCGAAACTGTATCATGACACAGCTTATCTTGCCGAGCAGGAACCGGTAGGTAACATATATTATTCATTTTTAAATCACCTCTCCTAAGTTACTTTTCCATAATGGTATATTAAGCTGAAGCTGTCCATCAATGATCTCCAATCTACAGTATGATACACGCCGTAAGTAATTTGCGGCAACAGTAGTGGACCATTCGCAGATCCACGTTCGTAAAAAGACTAGGCTCTGGGCGATCAGTGGAGATTAGTCGGGGCGCCGATTCGTGGATCCTCAAAGACTACCCCACCCTCCAGTCGAACGCGACTCAATAGTGCAGCCACACAACCAGATATCGAGTATTATGCTACCATCGCGTATCCCTGTCGCATAATTTCCGTTATCCCGTTATTAGAAGTCATAAGCCAGAGTACGCGATTCGGCGGTCTCGACCTCTGGCACGCGTTAAGTCAGTCACACACGGCACTGGCCCAGTTGAGCTTCCCTAACGGGTTTAGACTTCTTTCTGTCATCTCAAATGCCGCAGTTCCCTTCATCTCCATCTTGCAGTACTCGCTTGCTGTCAACGAGGAATACTGTCAGCCTGGCGTGCATACAGAAGTTTGTCCTGGTCAATGAATATGTGGTATGATTCGGTTTGAACATCATCTTACTCCCTGCCCAAGGTCGACGGTTAACAATTACTCCTATCAACCAGATCACTATGCTTGCAACAGCACCGTCCACTGCGGTCCTCCAATCTTGACCTTGCTGAAAGCAGATCTCAATTGACGGTACGCTTGCTCCAACTGGTTCATAGTTGGAATGCCCTTGTACTATGAACCCATTTCCCATGCCTGTTTGCTTGTGCTCCACTGATGAACTCCGAGAGATCAGGGTTATCCAATTCACCGGGCAATCGTCTTGTGGGATGGAGGACTGGAGCCACAGACTCCACGCATTGGACGACAGATAACTACGATTTACTATTCCGATCTTCGCTGTTTTCGTTCAAGCCGAGACGTGGTTTGATGCAATACATACGCAGGCCTTAGGTCGGAAGAGCACGAGAAGGTTTATATGATCCCCAGTGGCAGTACATAAGGCACTGGGTCAGGTTGTGCATTGCACAAATGTTCTCGGGCTCTCGCAGTCGTCGTTTCAAAATTGGACCGGTTAACCATATACGGTCAAGAGAGCTGAAACGGACCGTTCATGGCCTGCGAGAAGTGAGTCTATTGGAAGTCCAATTCTCTACCTGGAGGCTGGCTACTGATGTAGAGCTATAAATACGTGCACAATATCCTCAGTTGCTCGAACAAGCTTCCTGCTACTTGCATCAAGCCCATCCGCTGGTTACTCAGTACCTATCTTGTACTTGACAGAATGGATTCCTCGGTAGGCAAATAAACCCCTTTCTGAAGCCGCGTCTAATTCCAAGATAGGAATATCTCCGAATTCTCGCGAGGCTCGACATTCGAGCAGTCCGGGCAGAACGAGCCCAGTCCAAACTTGAACAGGAATTAAGCGCTTCCAAGGCTGCCGAGAAGCAGGCGACTGAGGAGTTGGAGCATGTATCCAGACTAGCGGATATCTTCTTTGAACTCAGCCAGAAACTAGGAGGCGTGGTGGATCATTGGCTGAAGGAGCGCGGTGCCAACCAATCCGGCCAAGAGCCGGAGTCAACAAAGGTAATGCTTGATGTGCTGTTGAAGCAATTGGAAGCACAGGAGTTGGGCAATAGCGGTGAGAATTCCGGTGGTGACTCGGAAAGTGGCAGCGAGAAGGCTGCGGAACAGTGCAGCTAAGTCATGGCTTAACGATGGTTCACCGGGCATCGTCTCTTGATCATGTACATTGGTCTCTGTGTGCGGAGTGACCAAGATTGTTTACAGCTTGTTCGTGCAGAACGGTTATCATTACATGTATATATTAGATTCAGTTTGCTATGGTACTTGAAATGGGTTTGTCTCTACGTTGGCACATATATATGCTGTCATCTCCTTAATTCGGTTTACAGCACTTCTTCCCTTAAGAGAGTCACATTTACATTTCAGTTTGTTCTGATTATGGAAACTCAACTGATTTTCTGTCGTGCCCAGAAGATGACGCGGAAGCTTCAACATATTCTGGGAGACGATTTTTCCCAGTCTAGCATCGCCAACTCGCTACCCCGTGCTGAATCTACTTCTGATTCCCTTGAAGCTGCATTTGAATGGGACCGCATTCGACGATCGGCAGCTCCATCGCCAGAGTTACTATCTAAGGAGTTCCAGAGACAGAAGACGCATCCAGACAGCCATGAGCTCGGTATGCAGTCCAATATGAACATTCTCTTCTTACATCAATACTAAATCAAATATAGTAAAGGGCTAGTAATGTGAAGGTGAAGTGGCTGCTCCTCAATAAGCCAGCAAACCGGGCCGCCGTTGGTGTGAATCAGGGATCCAGGTCAAAAAAAGCCGATAGGGGTCAGCAAAGAGGATCATTTCATGATTTGGTTTGGTTTATGGCTGGGGCGGCTGGCTGGAAAATAATGTATTTACAGGCAAGATGGTTGTAATGAAATTTTTGTGTGATCTCCAAGATCTCACGGAGCGACCAGCTGGCTCTCAGATTGCATCGAGAGTGTTTTTGTGTTCCTCATCGAAAGGTTGCCGTCACCTCCTTGCGGTTCATAAGAACCGATCGTCAGGATCTAGGCGTCGAAATGTACCCGTTGTGCCGATTTCGTAGGAGAGACTAGTTGGCCAGTGTTGTGCTAGCGAAACGGACCAGTGCCCATCCTTCTGGGTTTGAGTGGTTTCCTCCATTTGACTGGCTTGGGCATACAACCGATCCATCCATCTTTGGGCGCACTTTCTGGGTCGGGAGGAATGACGCCTGCATTCTGGACATAGCATGTACCTTGCAGCCTCTGAGAGTCTCGTTTTAGGTGGGTGACCGGTAGGGAGATCTTGGAACATCTTGAGGCATATCGCTCCATTTATCCGTGAATCCTTGGACACGGGATTTTGGCAACAGACTCCATTATCGTCAACCCATCGGCACCCCAAACGATGAGTGGGATCGCCAATAATTTGGCCGAGGATTGACTGAAGATAGTCAGAGCTCCAATCCATATTGGTGGACAGACAAGAGGATGTGAATTTAGGTACAACGCACACCAAAGAGAAGAAAGATTTGAAAACAGAGCAAGCGAGGAGGCTCGTAGATCTTCGAGGACACATCTTTTATATTAATAAAACGCTCAGTGGAACTCTCACGGACGGTCCAAGCGTCTAGTGAGACTGAAGAGCTCCAACGACTTTTGGTGTTCGTCTCTACGATCGGAGCTTCTACGCTGCACGTGCTGAACGCCTTTCATGTCTCCTAGGAAAGCGGTACTTGTTCCTAGGAACCCGAGGTTACCTGAGGACGTTTTACCGACCCGGATGTAGAGACCAATGTTGTGTAAGCATTCATGTAGCCAATAGGTGTGCACTTTTACCAACGGCTAAAGGCTGCTAGCTGCCTGGGAACGGAATTCTGGTTCCTGGGACTCATGTATGGGTTCCTGGGAGTCCCTGAGCTCCCAGGAATACCCATGCCCTTCCTGGGAGCACCCATCCGGTTTCCAGGAACACATATTCAGGTCCCAGGAGACGGAGTACTTCTGGGAGCTCAAACATCTGCCCTGCAAGCCAAGGACCTTTTGATTATTGCCACCCATGTCACTACACAATCTCATGCGTAACAAATTCTGGTAGCAGAGAAGGATTACTATAAATGCTCAGATTACTCTTTAGCAGTTTGTCTTTCAGTCGCCACCACCGCCTTGATACATTCCTCGCCTCTCACCCACGTACTACGCTCAAGATGTCAGACTCCCAGTGGCTTTGGGACCCCTTGACTATCTGTCAGATGGGGCCCCTTAGGGAAAATAAGACGTGCTGTGGCATTACCAAGAAAGGAGACGCTTGCCAGTTGATTGTGAAGAAAGAGACCCTGAAAGAAGGTCGGCACAAGTTGGACAACCTTGCACGAAGCCCATTCAATCTTTCTACACTTGACTCCCAGCTTAGCGACCTTGTATCCTTCTTCCTCTGCAAAAAGTGGCATCGAGTACGTCAGCACGATGATATCAAACAGCAATGGTTCGATGCGGCCGTTCGTAATCAGGCCGATGCACAAATCTCCCCGCGCCATCGATTTCCGCAAATTACCGGGGTAGAAATCGACGTACCCCAACAGGTATCAGCCAGCACAGTCTTGGAATCAGATGAGCTTGCTCCATTATGGGGTGTTGACGAGGCTTTCTCAAGGCTTCCAGCCTCCACATGGCTAGAGGTATCTCGGCCCCCTGGTCGAGATGTCACACTAGACATGCTCACAACGGATCGGGTGCCCTGGAATGTTTCATCGGATGATCCAGCCATTCTGTCCATCCACAATGAATACGGTGGAGTGCACTACCTTCACATTCACGCCGTCGGCCAAGAGCGCTGTCCAGATGGTGAGAAGTGTTCAATTTGCCTCGAGGGAGACAACGATGAATGTGCCATGTTACAATGCGATACATGTAAGGGGGTGGTTCATTTGGGGTGTATGGAGGGATGGCTCGCCCATCGATTACCGGGAAATAACACCTCTTGCCCGCCACAGTACGTATCCCATCACCCTCTGTTACCCGGTTCATTCACTAATACAGATACAGTCGATGTCATGGATCGTTCAGTGCTCTCTTACGCTCATCCGCTGTTGAAAATACTACTGCCGAGTCGACAGCAGAAACACCTCTCGATGCCACATACACACTTGTAGAAGAAACAAGGGTTCCAACAACACCTCCACAGCTTCGGTCAACCCCACCTACCCGGCGTTCAGACCGTCTTCAGGTCTCAAGCTCATCTCTTATTCGTCGATCGCCTCGATCGAGGCGGGTTCCCGATCGCTTCCGACCATAGTCTAGGCTTCAGATGGACGAGAGCTGAGTGATGAATACACGAAACCATTTCATATACTGCATGAGATTCGCCCTGGGGCTATGTACACCGTATTCAGCACCGTCGTGAGTAGACACAAACAGTAGTCCATTTTAAATCTCATTGAGGATGCATGACATTAAACCGGTTGGAGTTTGCGGGGCAGTGCATGAGCAGACATGGTTGGGCCGTTGCAGGGCCGGCTCCACCGCGGTGATCTATGTCTAACCGC